CTCTCTCTGGGTATCCAGAGGCTGGCGTCTCTCTCTCTGGGTATCCAGAGGCTGGCGTCTCTCTCTGGGTTTTGTGACTGTATCAGAGGATGATGGCAGATGTTTCTTTAACCTGTAACCTGACATATGGAAGGCCAGATCTGGCTGCTGCCGCGCTCCCTGCAGCTCACGTCTTTCCAGGCGTACAAGCTGCGGGTCACTCACCTGTTCCAGCTGAAGCAGCACAGCATCCTGGTGTCGGTGGGGCAGGATGAACAAGGCATCAACCCTCTGGTACGTCTGATGTCACCGCGCCTTCATCACTTCACTTCCTCACCACAACATGAACATAATTTGCTCTCATATATAGAATTTTAGAATTCCATAAAAAAAGTATAAAATACTTTAATTTGATAAAATTTCCATAAATAAAACGGTTAGATTGTCCATAAATCAAAGCGTCGCCGAGCACCAGATCTTCATCTCTGTGTCAGTGTAGATATTTCCATCATCATCATCAGCAAATGAATAGTTGCTGCAAACTCGTTAGCTTAGCATCATGGTCATTAATTAGCCAGGCTCTGGTGAATCACCGGCTCCACAGAGCACCATTTTCCTCTCCTTCCTCCTCATCGCCATGTTGCCTGGTGGAATCATCCAACTGTCCGGCCAGCTGTGGTCCAAACGTTTCCTCGCCTTCTGGCAATAACTCGCCAGATGAAACCCTCATTTCAGACCCTGTTCTAACGCCTGGAAGGAAAACAGCAGTTTACCTCAGTTATTAAAGAGAGACCCTGTGAGGCTGTGAGTGTGACGCGCTGACTGTGTCCTGCAGAGCGGCTCATTGACCGTCTGTAGAGCTTTAATGCTTCATTATGCCGACTATCGTCATGGAAACTCAGCCCCTTGTGTCCGGCTCCCGTGTTCAGTTCAAACCACTAGCTGACCACGATACTCCAGGAAACCTGTGAGCCAGAGTGACTTCTCTCCAGGATAGGGTTGATATCTGTGAAATCTTTGCTTCTCTAGATGTTTCTATCTGTGAAACCTCAGGAGCTGCTCTCTCCACACAGTCACATTTTCCTATAATTTTCCGCAGAGCAGGAATTCTGTCCGTGCGGACGCCGCGTGGAATGATGTCATCCGTTTGCGGCCGCTTTGAGCATAAACCAAAGTTTAGTTGCAGTTTTTTCTTCTCCGGCTCCGTTTGTCTTGGGAACCCAGCATTGATGCGGACTAGAACCCGGACCTGGAGAAGCTCAGCAGTTCTCCGTAGATCAGCTGACTGCATCTGTTCTTTCTCTCCAGGTGAAGGTCTGGAACCTGGACAAGAGAGACAGTGGGAACCCGCTGTGCACCAGGATCTTCCCTGCAGTTCCCAGTAACAAACCTGCAGAGGTGTCCTGCCTTAGTGTCCATGAGAACCTGAACTTCATGGCTATTGGTGAGTCCCTCCCCGCCTGTCACTCGCTCGCAGCTCGCTGCTCCAGCCGCTAACGTTGTTTGTGGACAGGCTTCACGGACGGCAGCGTGGTTCTGACCAAAGGGGACATCACCAGAGACCGCCACAGTAAAACGCTGACCTTGCACGAGGGCGGCTGCCCCGTCACGGGCCTGGCCTTCCGCCAAATGGCCAAAGTGACGCACCTGTTTGTGGCGACTCTGGAGAAAGTCTTTGTAAGTGTGTGAAGCTCTGCAGCGTTTCTGCCAGTTGATCCAACCAACTCTGACCCGTCGGCTTCTCTCCCTCAGTGCTACACTCTGTCCATCAAGGAGTATCCCAGGGTGGAGCTGGACACCCACGGCTGCGCCCTGCGCTGCTCCTCTCTGGCCGATCCGTCCCAGGACTCCCAGTTCATTGTTGCCGGGGACGACTGCGTGTACCTGTACCAGCCTGATGAGCGGGGGCCATGTTTCGCCTTCGATGGCCACAAGCTGCTGGCCCACTGGCACCGGGGCTACCTGTTCCTCCTCAACAGAGACCTGAAGTCACCCAGCAAGTGAGAACCGTCCTCTGCAGCAGATACCTGGAAACTGGTTCCTGGTTGGAACCATGGTGGTTAAACTGGTTTTAGGGGAAGGATTTGATTGGTTTTAGACCGTCTCTTTAAAAGGAACCAGAACCATTCTGTCCTGGTTTCATTCTGAAGCACAGAGGAGCGTTCAGTTTAAACGCCGCGCAGAGGGAACCTGTTCCCTGTAATCCATCATCCTGCTGCAGAGATCAGTTTGCTGGTTATTGTTTTACAGCTTATCCTGATCACAGGCTCATCTCAGCAGATCATTGCTGCTCCTCTTTAAACAGTCAGAGCATTTCCTTCCTGTTAGCATGGTGGGAAGACATGATCTAAGCTTTCCCTGCTTTAAACCGTGCAGCAGACAGACGGGTCACCGTCAGCCCTGCAGGACCGGGCCGCTCTGAATGCTGGACCTACTTCTGCCCAGAGGAAGATTTCTAGGAGCAGCTGCAGGTCAGTGAGGCTCTGGCTGGGGAATGGGACAGGTAGGGAAGAGGAGGAGTTCCAGTATTTCACCAGTAAAGACTGATTTATCCTCAGAAACCAGGTGGTCTGCGTGTGTCACAGATAGGCCCCGCCCCCTCCACAGACAGTAAGCTGCACCTCTCTGAAATTATAGGTGAGCAGACAGGAGGCCTCTGATTGGTCAAATCTACCTTCGTTCTACTCTATGCGTATTTCCTGGTTGGTTCCTTACCGGCTTGTTTTGTTTGTCTGAGCGCCATCGTGGAAAAGGACTGAAGATGGAGCAGCTAGCAGAGCGAGGTGAGGACGCTGGGACCCTTTTCCCACCTGGATCTCCGCTCTTTTTGGCCCTCATGTCCCTCCGTTGTCGCACAAACTTGCCCCCACTTCCTCACCGCCTCGGCTGTGTCTAGACCCACAGCTACTTCCTGATTGGCCCTCTGGCGTTGTGGCGTGGAATAACGCAGCGCAGATCACGCTTCAATATTGGGCAGAAATCATAAATACCTGCTGGGGGAGGAGAACCAGACCTTTAGGGGAGAATGGGGCAGCAGTGGGACAGACAGACCAAACAGCTGCAGCAGTCTGCCGTCTCAGCTTCTCTCTGACTCCCTCAGAGGTCAGGATGAGACTAGAGCTGCTCCTCCCCCAGGAGGTGTTCAGGTACGTCCCGTAGGGAGGAGGCCCAGGGACGGTGCTCCTGGGAGCTCAGATACTGGTGACCGTCCAGCTGTGGGCTCCAGGTGTTCAGTTTTGGTCCAGATGTGAGAGAATCTGTTCTCTGCAGTACGTGGAGAGCAGGATGCTGGAAGGATGTCACAGAGAACGCCACCTCACAGGCGGCTGCTGCCCGTGACATCATCAATGACCCCTCACCCCCCCACCATGGACTGTTCTCCCTGCTGGGAAGAGGCTTCACGGCATTCAATGCAGGACCAGAAGGTTCTTCCACCACCATCAGGCTGATGAATGTTGAATAAAACAACAAAAAGCTGAACGTTGGTAAAACTGTAAATCGATCTGTTTCCATTTGATCACTGCTGCAGGTTAACAGATGGAAATGTGTTGACAGCTGTACAGGTTTTATTGTTTATTTTACACAGAGTGTAGAAAACCACAGTAAGGTTTGTCTAAGTCTAAGTTTCCATCGCAGGTCAGGGTTCGGCAGCGGCGGCGAGAGCTCGCCGTCAGAGAAGCAGGTTTTAACCATCTATGACCTGGACAACAAATTCATCGCCTACAGTGCCTCGTTCGATGATGTCATCGACGTGTTGGCCGAGTGGGGCTCCTTCTACATTCTGACCAGAGACGGAAAAATGTTTGTTCTTCAGGAGAAAGACACGCAGACCAAACTGGAGGTGAGTTTTCCCGCCGCCTGCTGGTCTCCCGCTCCGTCGGTCCGTCGCTACATCAGCGGCGTCTCAGCGGCGTCCATCTAGATCATGTTTGTCAAAGTCAAGGTAGAACTGTTTCTCCACGCCCCCTGGATGATATTTAATAACCATTAGACCGGCCCACAGCCACGGCGGCTGGTGCCGCTGGTTCATGGCTACTGTTGCATTGTGGGGAATGTAGTGTTGGTGTGGTTGTGTTGCACCAACACTACAGCGGAAAACATGATGTTTTTCTTAGATTTTTTCTTGTGCTTTGCATGTTTGGATTGTTTTGGTTTTCACTCTTTAACAATCCAAGCTGGGCTGAAGTCGGTTCTCTAAGGAGGCGGAGTCAACTAACAGGTGTCAGCAGATGCTGATTGAAGCCTGCATGGAGGGAGGGGCGGAGCTGATCCAGAGACGCTGCTGAGCGACGGGCAGGTGGGATCCACGTCGTACTCTGATGGAGACAGAGCTGACTGTGCCGTTTATTCTGTGCCTGGCGTGCAGATCCCACCTGCCCCTCGCTCAGCAGCGTCTCAATCACCTGCAGGATCAGCGCGTTAGCTGACTCCGCCCCCTAAGATAAACCACCAGCTTGGATTGTTAAAGAGGGAAAAGCAAAACAATCCAAACAGAATCTATAATACATGCACTTTCATTCATGTATTTATTTTATCTTTATTAATACAATAAAAGTGTATTAATAGTGTTGACATTAATATTTTTTATAAACGATGCGTTAGGTCTTGGTTCAATAGACGACCTTCATTTCATACGTTTAATAAACGTCTAACCCGCCCGGCCCTCCGGCTGTCGGTTTGACTTTGATCCCTGATCCAGATGCTGTTCAAGAAGAACCTGTTTGTCATGGCCATCAACCTGGCTAAGAGTCAGCACCTGGACAGCGACGGGCTGTCAGAGATCTTCCGACAGTACGGTGACCACCTGTACCTGAAGGGAGACCACGATGGCGCCATCCAGCAGTACATTAGGTAACCCATCCAGGCGGAGCCTCTGTGTTAGACTGGCCGCCATGGTGGGTCAGAGTTCAGCATCCATGTTCTCAACCTCTGTGCTCCTCTGTGTTCCTGCTCAGAACCATCGGGAAGCTGGAGCCTTCGTACGTCATCAGGAAATTCCTGGATGCCCAGAGGATTCACAACCTCACAGCGTACCTGCAGGCCCTCCACCGCCAGTCCCTGGCCAACGCCGACCACACCACCCTGCTGCTCAACTGCTACACCAAGCTGAAGGACAGCTCCAAGCTGGAGGAGTTCATCAAGGTGACAGCTGGACCCAGTCCCGTCCTCCAGGTCCGCCGTCCTGCACCTGGAGGAGGCACCTGATTCCAGGAGGTCTCTGAAAGGTGCAGGAGCTCCAGGCCTGAGCAGAAGAAGGGTTCTGGAGCTGACCTCTGTGTGTCTGTGTCCTACCAGAGCAGTGAGAGTGAGGTCCACTTCGACGTGGAGATCGCCATCAAGGTTCTCCGTCAGGCCGGGTACCACAGTCACGCCGTGTTCCTGGCTGAGCGCCATCAGCACCATGAGTGGTACCTGAAGATCCAGCTGGAGGACCTGAAGGTGAGAACAGGTTCTTCAGCATCAGAAGCATCAGCACACCTCCAGCGGCACCCAGTAAAGCCCTGAACTCACCCAATCCCATTAACGCCCAGTCCGAGAAAACCGTGACGTTTTTAGTGCTTATTGAGAGTCAATGAAAAGAAAAACACCTGACATCCTGCAGGGGGCAGCGTAGCGCTGACTGAGATAGAGCCCACGTCTGGTTCAGCAGCAGCCAAGCAGCTGTTCAGCAGCAATTTCACAGCTCTGACAGGAAGAGTCAGGACAGGAAGTAAAACACATCCAACCTG